TATCTCCCCATTAATATCAATGTATACATGTTGATTTACATATCTGAATGAAATAAAACATGAATTCCTTAAAAAAACATTCTTAGTCAGAGGTAGCATAAAACCTTGAAGCCTTGAAAACACATCTAGCTTACCAAAAAAAATGCATCTTATTATTCTTCTTTCAGATGAAAAAAACACTTGATGTTTAGCATTCAATAGAATAAAAAATAAAACCAATGTAATCGTTAGGGGTTTAAGCTAAAGAGAGAGTGCTTTTCTAGCAAAAAATAATGAATAAGAATTAGCCAATGCTAACATATAGCATAGCAGCAAATGAATGGAGCTTGCGCCGGCTGACGCATGCACAGACGCGTTTTTTCACAATTTTCTTGTGGGCGGGACCACTCGCGGCCATTTTGGATAGTTCCAGTAGAGCACAATTTTTGGCCCATTAGTTTGAACGGTGTGACTCTGTCCATTAATTTATACAGTCTATGTTCTGAACACCCCTAGCCTTGGTAATTTAAAGAATGTGCCTCTACTGTGCGTGGTAACTGCGTTCCAGTGGCGGTCTGAACGCCCTATAAGACGGCACTTGCGAACTACTGCTACTCTAATGCCGCTTTTCCACAGTTTCAGTACAATACGGTACGACCATAGACTGTATATATTAACGGACGTAGTCACGCCCTATCTCCACCAAAAAGTAGGCTCTCATGGAGTGATTCAAAATGGCCGCGGGGGCTGGAAAATGTGAAAAAACGCATCTGCGCATGCGTCAGTCGGTGCGAGCGACTGACGCATGCGCAGTCACGAGTGACTTGGCAACCATGTTAGCAACGCATTCCGCCCTTGTTACAAAGCAAACCCCGTCGAAACACACGGCCATATAAGGATTTTGGCTTATGTTCAAATCTGCTTTATCCTCATTCAGTAAAAAAAACTAAACACAGCAAAGCCACTCATACAGTCTCTGATAACAATGGAATATTTAGGATCACACATTTAAAGAAAATATTGTTGAGACCATGTTTCTTGCATAGACTAGAGTACAATCACTATAAAAATATTCCAAACCTTTCAAAGTTTTACAAAAAGAAACAAAATTGCCACAATGTTAAAAAATACATGTGTTAAATGCGTATGAGGTTTTATTGGTTGGATACCATAAGATTTCTTTATTCGTCCCACAGTGGGGAAATTTCGTTGTTGCAGCACACATACAGGACAGTAGTAAGAGCACACAGGGATCACAGAATATATAAAAAATACGTAGCCTTTATAGAAGTAGTAATAAAAGTAAACGATTGATAAAGCTTTTTAATTTCAGTAGGTGTTATCATAGTAGTCTTACAACAGCTTGGAATAGATTGCAAAACTGACTTGTTCCTGTTATTATCTTACGTTACATTTTAATCAGTGCTTTGATTGTATGTTATCTAGATTTTACATTTGACATTATTAAGTGACTACATTCAAGGCCATTCTGTTGCACACTTTGGTCATTCCACGGCCCTAACAGGATTAGAAAGCAGCTTGACCTTACGCTACCTAATATGATCTTAGACTGGAAACGTCAATCTCGTGGGATGGCTTTTCTACATGTCATCTTTACCATCGCATTTGTACATGTGAGAACTGACTACAGCGTTGGTAGGAGTCACCCAGGGCAGAACGGCCTCCCTTGGAAAAACACTGTAATTTAGTGTCATTTATCCAACACACAACTGCTCATTACCGACATTATTAATCCGATACTATAACAACTGCTAAAACAATTGTGGGACATCTGCGTGGCGGTGATATACGCAAACAAATGACTGGATTTGAATAAGAATAGATGAGCTTGGAGAAAAAGGATTGTGTCATTATGTGATGTGGTGAGGAGACTTATGGCAAGGCCTATTCTATACTGTAATTACTATGCAGAGGGGTAATGTGATCGCCTGTGTGTGTGTGTCTGTAAACACGGTGTTGTATACAACTTTACATTAACTGTGAGTAATCTATATCGAGATGTCTAAGTTATACGTGTAAATAAATGCCTTTTTTAAATTCTATTTTTATTTTTATTTTTTTTATCAAACTGCTACTCATTATTTTGGTTCGATATGTATATTAACATAGTGGGAGATTGTTTTCCTAAAAGTAATAGGTTGGATTGTATGGATTGTCTTGCAAAGTATGTTAATGCTGGTAAAGAAATCAGAAACTTAAAGTATGAATGGTGGGGGATGCCCAGTCTGATACAATATTTGTAAAATAATCTCTTGTTCTTTTCGGCCCTTCCATTGTTAGCAAACTACAACATTTTTCTTCCTCTTCCCCTCGACATCTCACTGTTCCACTTGGCTCCCTCTTATTCATACACACTGTTGTGCTGAGATATGACTGTGAGCTCTGTCTCCAAAAAAATATGAAAAATGGGTCAATCGTTTCAATTACAAAAGGCCAACTGGAGAATAAAGCCTATTTTAATTATGTTCATTTGTCTGCATAGCAATTATCAAAGGAAACAGATCATTTTTGCTCCGTAAAGGCTGCGATCATTTAGCTTGGTTACTTTATTATAGTGTAGAACAGTTAAACTACAGTATTTGCAGTGAATGCGTAATGTGTTATATTGTAAAGGTCAATTAAAAGCAATATGTAAACTTGACCCACAATGTTTGACTTGTATTTGTGTAGCATACCATAGCCCTAAGTGGACATAATTGACCTCACAAGGAGGAAATTACGGCATAATTTGGGTGCCACTAATGTAAAGCAACAGTTGAGTAACCTTTTCCCTTTTTGGTAATTACAGAAGATAACTTTTGAGGGCATGTGAATGTTAATAGAAATGATTTATCTATTTCCAATTCTATGGAGAAGTTTTTGTTTTTGTTTCCCTTCCCTTGTTCATGGTCAACGTTGTTCTTGATAATGTTCTTGCCCCTGATAATTTTGAATGATTTACATTTTTGCCATTCAGTTTTACATAAAAAGCGCAGTAACAACATGCCCGATCACAACTATGCAGACGACACTCAGATCTCGGCACGGTGGCTGAGTGGATAGCACTCTTGCCTCTCAGCAAGAAGGTCCTGGGTTCGAATCCCGGCCGGACCAGGGCCTTTCTGAGTGGAGTTTGCATGTTCTCCCCGTGTCTGCGTAGGTTTCCTCTGGGTACTCCGGTTTCCCCTACCACTAAAAATATGTACAATAGGTCTGGCATGCGCCTCCTGTTCGGCGACCCCGCTCCCATCTCTGTGTGGAGTGAGAGGACAAGTGCCCAAAAAATAACAATTGTAAACCGCTTTGTGACTCTGGTCTGTGAAAGGCGGTATATAAATAAAGCTTACTTACTTACTTACTTACTAAAATCCAGGTTAAAAACTTGCCTTGCCTAAAATAATAATTGACTGTAATTTTCTGATGTTCCCATTTTTATACTTCTCTAAAAGTTCAAAAATAAGTGAGAAGATGTCACAATAAAATAACTTTCTAAGACTAAAACACAACGCACTCCTGTTGGAGCTATTACTTTCCTGTTTCTGCACGTCTTTGGCACAGAGCCCTCTCAGACCTGCAGACCACACACTGAGACGTCTGTGAGCGAATCTAAACTTTAGGAATCAATCTGCCAACTGAAGAAAGCTCAGGTTGATAAATGTCTTCTCTTCCCTGTGCAGCGTTGTCTAATAGCCCAACAATGGCATTCATCGCCGCTATTACCGCTGTCGGAGTGTGGACAATGCCGTGGGAAACCCGCTCAGAAATCTCTCTCGGAATCAAATGTATTTCATTGGTTGGACTTATGGGACATTATCGCATCCTTGCTCTAAAGCCGGCTTGGTCTAAAGGATAATGCAAGGTGGACTTTTGTCTTTTGCAGTCAAAGTTTTAGTGGTTCATCCATAATTTAAACCAGTACCCTAGGACATTTACAAACCAGTACCCCTTGCTGTTTATAAATACCTTAAAAGTGATTACATTATGGTGACGTCATGTGAACTGGCAGACACTGATACATCGAATACGGGCAAAACAATTATGTATCAATAGGTCAAAAGAAAGCAATGACTGGTGTGAGTTATAAAATATATCACAGCAGGAAAATGCGGCCAAAATGTCTTCCTGGAATCACAACTTTGCAGGATATAAATTGAGAAAAAACGTCCACTTCCATATACTAGTTGGAGAATTCTGCACAGAGCTTTATGGATGTTCTTTAACAGAACTTTGTTACTTCTTGCAATTGAATTTCTATCCACATAAAGACATAACCATGCATTGATTTACCTCTCTGGCCCAATCTATTTTGTTTAACAGCAAATGGTTGCTTTGTCTCAGTGTTCTCAGTGTTCTATTCAAATTCAATGAATGCAAAAATATAACTTAGAAATAATTCGGACATTTGTCAACCCCTGATTAACAAACCAAAATCTCTAATATACGCCTGCTATAGAGAATATATGGCCTAGCACTTTTCTATATCAGTAAAACATGATTATAGCTGTGAAAGCACAAAGAGGGGATGTGATCGGCATACCATACGGTCACATAGGCACAGTTCTATGCACGCATTCTATTTCTTTCACTTTAACGAGTGCAAATGCAACTAATTTGTTTGCTCTTTTTATCTGACATTCATATCTTCACCTCAGTCACCACAGCACGCTCCACATAAGGATAAGTGGAGAGGCGCAAGGCTGATTGCAGCGCATTGCGCGTCTGTCTGCGCATCCATGTCCTCAGAGAACCGACAGCTATGGACAGACAATCTAGCTGTTGTTTTATTCGAAGCCCTTTTTCACTTGACATTTTACCATACACGAGGAGGTTTGTCATACAGGTATAAGCTTTTATATTAATATGACAACCGTGCGTCTTGGGGGAACGTTTCTTCCACTGGTGCCATGGAAGAGTCACCATTGAACCAAACGTGCTCGTGGCTGTCAAAAGCGCACCTTTTCATCAAACACAAATGAGTGTCATTCATCCCCAGTGCGAGTTTCTCACCTTCGTTTGCGGGGATGCCCCACGCTCCAAGCGCCACCACGCTCCAAACGCACAGCACCAGTCCACGCATGGTGCCAGGGGCGCGCACGGCAGCAGTCAGAGGAGAGAGACGTCCTACAGAAGCTCGGTTTGGGTCAGCGCAGAGCCGTGTGCAGTGGTGCCATGTGGATCACTGTAGACGCGCGCAGAGGAACGGGAGATCATCGCATGCTGCTGGTTTAGCACAGAATGAACCGCTCCAGATTTGGGGAGGCGGGCGGCGCGCTGAGGGGGTGGGGTGGACGAGGAGGCTGTCCAATCACAACGCGTCTACAGGTGAAGCCCACTCTTTGTCCGTCAGGTCTCGTTTGTCCTAACCTGAAGTTAAAAGAAGGTATTGCTCCCCGGGTTGTGGTGTAACGTCGTCATCGCGTGGTGGCCATGAAGTGCAGTGCGTTTCATGTCTGTGCCATGAGACGAGCTAATTGGATTTGTGATGGAGTGCGCTGCGCCTGTCACTGAGAGGGGCTGCTTCCAGATGCCACGCACCGCAATTAACTCCTGTCACACAGATGTTTGCTCCTGTAGGTATCATATTACACAGAGGCGTTTCCTCATGTATATCAACTTAAATATATTAGTTTTCTTCCATTTGATAAGGTCCATTGCTTAGGCAGCTTTAATGAAGTAACCTTATGTCATGATACACACAGCATGTGACATGAGACTTTCATTGGTTTCTATTGTTTTGCTAATACCTCACAACCGAGGTTTTTTAATAAGATAAGAGTGTAAAAAACCTAGTGCTGCATGAGCACCTTCTTTACACTTATGTCTTAAAAGTGCCTTCTCCTAAAACATTTTTTTTTTTTACAACGAAAATATAACATAATATAATCAAAGCAAACAAATTCTGCTTTTTTGAAAAAAATAAAAAAATAATTAAATAAACACAACAGCAAAACGAAACCAGCTTGATTTTGTTGATTGAACCTCCCTCATCATTAAAGATGCAGTCAGTGATTTTTTTCCCCGGACTTATTATTTTAAATATTGACGGAAAACATCCCCAAACCCTAAAAGTAGTAAAGTTATCATGTATTTTCAAAAAGTAATCTAATTGACCAGATGCCTATTTTTTCCAAAAATGTCAAAACAAATATTTTGGAGCAAACCGATAAAAATAAACCGATGGGATTCATTCATCCCCAACGAACCAATGGGATGTGTTTACCCCCTTCACCCTCTTCCTGTTTCTTGCGGGTGCAGCCTATTGTGCAGTTATTGGACTTTATAAAACCTAAAAGGGCTGAAAAGAAAATGTCAATTTCACGTTTGCCACTTACTCTTCCTGTTGTGACAAAGAAAAGAAAATGCTGGATGTCTGGTTTGGTGGAGAGGCGAGGGGAGGGGGGGAGTGGATTTGACTTGGTGCTACAGCTAAGCTAACAAAATCGCTTACTGCACCTTTAAATATTTCAAGTATGGTACATTTGTCCTGAAAAGTAAATCTGATTATCCTTTGTCTAGGTTATCCAAGAAAAAAAAAAGATGATATCACTTTCAATCAGTTTGATTTGATGAAGAGTGGGTCAAATGTATCGACTGATTCATGTATATATTTTGCAAAAGCATAGTGAAATATTCAGCTGAACTTTAAAAAAATAATAATAATAACGGTTTGACTGTCTCCTCTGTGACATATCTCTATAGTGAATGGAGTAATGCTATGTCTTTTCAAATCATTACTGTGAAAAAGTAGAACAAAAAGATAAAATATAACCTTTGGTGTGGGCGTCCAACTGAAAACTGCTCCAGGGAAAGTCTAAAAACATCTTGGCAAAAGGAGAAACGTGCTTTGCGTTTTCCAAAGGTGACCACTGGGCTGTTCGCTGTTATTTTAGGGGTGTGAAGAATATCATGTCCACACCCCCACTTCAGCACACTCTGGCATGCTCTGTTGATACTGTGCCAATCCAGACCCTCAGGCTGTGAAAGTATAATTTTGTCTTTTACAAAACACACCGGCCCATGTCAAATAATATCTACTCAGCGATTGGACGTTTTATTCATTTTATATACGTTTTTTAATGTATTTTTTAAACTTACAACAAAACAATAGTCTATTTATTGACTATAAAAAATGTGTATAATAACTACGGCAATTTTCCTTTGGCATAACATGTAGTCAAATACAGTTGTTATTATTTTTTCCAGCTATTATTTACTGCGGCAGTTAATAAAAAAAACGCAAAACGGGGGAAAAATGCTTGCAAAATAAATAAAAAAATCACTGAATGATCAAAGAGTTAATATTATACAACTTTTTTTTACACAATTTCATTCATTACAATTGTTTTGATGATCTACTCATGCTTTTTGGCAATTATTTAGTCACACTTTGTTTCAGGAAATACATACTAAATCTTCGTTCTCCTTTTTTTCTGAGTGCGAAGTTGGTAAAATAGCACAAGGCAAGACCAAAGCATAAGTGAGAACAGAGTGTGCAGAGAACCAGACCTAAGGCGACCTACTACTGGAGCGCTGCAGTACACAAGGGAGAAGAGTTTGAGAGGGAAATCCTTAGAGACACTTGAATTTCCACTGTGCAATGTGAACACGATATAACACTATGGTACTGTGTGTAATCTACTCCAAAAGGAAGACTTGATTCATGGCTGCAGTTGACAATAGAGGGAAATATACAGTCATACGTGTCTCGATGTTAAGTTGTCTTGGTGGGGTTGAGTTACAAAGCCCAGAATCTCACCTATGCACTTCCAAGTCCTGCACTGACTGGCTAAAGACGGCACAATGGATGCTGCAATAAGCTTTGAAGGATAGAACAAATGCAGAGGACTTATCTAAGGTGACGCTGTTACATAGTCATTTCAGACCTGAGAATAAACTTTCTCCAACAATGGCAATCCGTCAAGCCCTATGTCCTCTATCCAGAATCAGACCCTAATTATTTAGTTACAGTGATATACAGCGAGTTAGTAGCACAGTACTCGTAGACCGAGGCTCTCTGTTAGCATTGGGAATAACACCAGGTTTCCAGATCAGCTTTTGAGTATAGGTCCCGCTTCAAGGTAACTGCAGTTCTGGAACAGTCTTTGGTAGTGTCACTGGCTGAAAAACCTCTGCAAGTTTTGTCGCAGATTTCACACTTGCGGATACAAGGCAGATCCCCGTGAACAAAGTCGATCCCCATTTGCCTCATTCTCCATGTTCGGACACAAAAATACACATTTACTCCCAAAAACACATTTTCTACAAGTTGATACGAACCTAACACAGACGTTTAATACTGTCCATGGACCACAGGCTGGGTAGGCTGACCATAGACAGCGCTGATTCACTGGTTCAGTTTCTCCCAGCTGTCACTCACCTTTAGAGGCAGACTCTTGACGTCACAGATTGGCGTCACAATTTGAAACAAGTAATTTCTGTGCCTCTTGAGAATGAAAGAGAAAGAACGCTCTCTAACTAAAGCTTGAGGGAATCAATGAAAAAACTACTCTGGGCATGTGTTGAAGGCCAAATAGCACTGTAATCAAAGTTCTGTAAGAAAAGTCAAAAAGTGGGATATGGGTCCTTTATGGAAATTGTTGAATTTGCCAACACAGATCAGAGAATCAACAGGTTAACACAAGAAATGCAATGATAAATACACATTGGTCCATAAGAGGCAGGTGTCCATAAATCATGATAAATGTTGACTGTAATCTATTTAACAAACAAATATATGTGTATGTCTAAATATACTTGTATACAGAAATGTCTACACAAAATTCATTGTGGTACTTTCTCAGATTAAATCATGTTAATTACAATTGCAGCCAGTCATTTTCTAAGTAGGTTAAACTTATGCTACTCCTCCCTCTGGTGGTTGAGGGAAAGCCAATAGCCCTATCCCTTGATACTTGTATGACCATTTTTTCTGAACATATTACTTCACATCCCGCAACATGAAAAGACAAAGTACACAGTCTCATCATAATTTGTAATTCTTTCACCTTGGTCTTAAGTGTTTGCTTTGATAATTCGTGTTTCAGAACGGTGCGTCTTCTGGACTCCGTTCACAGCAGCACATGCAGCAGTCTCCGTAACCGATCTATTTAAGAAGTCAGCAAACTGAAGTTACAGCCAGAGGTCAGAGTGAGGCCAACACTGCCATCTACAAGCCGGAACTAATGTACAACCCCCAATGTTAGCCGTTTGAAACGTGTTAATGTTAGCACACAGCTTCAAGTTCAATGCTCTAGAACTGATTAAAAAAGATAATAAATGTCTTAAAAAAGCCAAAAAGATCGTGACAGCTTTAATCAAGAGATGTGTAACGAACTGGGAAGACTGAGCACTTTAGAAAGTATTTAGAGAGTGGGGTGCACGCCGCTGTGATTCAAAGGGTAAAAAATTAAGCTTTAAAAGAGATATTTTGCATGGTATGTGTCCTTTAAATCAGCAAATCTAATCAATCTAAAATAATTTAACTGACATTTATTGATTTATTGGTCTACTACAAAAGAACAACTCCCACTGACAAATTCAAGCACTAGATTTTGGTAATTGCTGTGTGTGTGTGCATGTGCGTGGGTTTGTGTGTGTGTGCGAGTCCGTCTGTCTATGTGTGTTTTTTATCATTGCATTTCCTGTGTTTCAGCTTTTGGATTCTCTGATCTGTGTTGGCGAAAAAAACACTTTGTTCAGTCCTTTGAAATAACTACTGTTGATTTTTAGGGGTACACAAAATAAATCGCGTTGAATTGAACATGTTAACAACTTCTACAGGTACACACAGTTGGAATGGCTAACTTTAAGACTTGACACTCCTTATGGAGCCACAACACTCTCTGTTGTGTTCACACTTTATTCTGAATCACCACCATGTCGTCTCTCTCCATACCCCCCATCGGCTTCTTGTTACACTGAAAAAACATGCATTTTGTCTTGCCGTTGTGCTATTCTCTGCCACTCTTGTCTCTCTGCGTGGTGCATTTAGATTCGTTCATCACGCCGGATTGCTGAGGTGTTATTCCCGTGGCTTTGCCCTGTCGTCACCTCCCACACTGCTCACTTGTGCACAAAGAGACCGATTTTACACGCTTTATCGACTTTATTATTTTGTTCCAACCAGAAATGTGCCGTGTTAATAAAGGGGGTTTTAATTGTATGCATTCATTGTGATCAAAATTGTGGTCAAAGTTGAAGGTGTGTGAGGGTTCTGAGCAGGTGTGGAGTTTGGGGGGCCACCCAGCTTACTGCAGCACAAATACATATTAAATACCTTTTTCCCCAAAGGAATTCGGATTTTAGCCTTGAGGTATAAACAAAAATTAACCCTGTTTTTGTTTTTATTCAAAGGGACCATATG